GAAGTACAGATAAAGTGTTGATGAATTATGCCTGGAAAGATAGGGAAGGTTTCATGGAGGCAGAATCATACCTTAGTTAAGATAGAAGCTGTCCTCTGAATATAATAGTAAAACTCTGTGAAACAACTAGACCATCTGAACCAGAGAAGCAGATTTTTGGTGACATTTCTCACTAAATACATCTGATGACATCAATTATCTCTGGGAAATGAAACAGATTCTACTTTTTTTTTTTTTTTTTTTTTTGCGGTACGCAGGCCTCTCACTGTTGTGGCCTCTCCCGTTGCGGAGCACAGGCTCCGGACGCACAGGCTCAGCGGCCATGGCTCACGGGCCCAGCCGCTCCTCGGCATGTGGGATCTTCCCGGACCAGGGCACGAACCCGTGTCCCCTGTATCAGCAGGCGGACTCTCAACCACTGCGCCACCAGGGAAGCCCCAGATCCTACTTTTGATAGATGCATGTTATCATCAGGAGAAGAAAGGTGACAACATGGTCACTACAGTCAACTAGATTACCAAGTAAGAAGCACATCCAAATATCTTCAAATGTCAGAGAACATAAAACATTTTCAGAAATTTAGTTCTGGATTATACTCTCAGAGTTCACATAGGAATTTCTTCCTAAAACCTGGTATTTACTTGGCTTTTTTGTATGAAACAGTCTCTGACACTCCCCTGCCCCCCGCCTTTTTTTTCTTTTGCGGTACGCGGGCCTCTCACTGCTGTGGCCTCTCCCGCTGTGGAGCACAGGCTCTGGACGCACAGGCCCAGCGGCCACGGCTCACGGGCCCAGCCGCTCCGCGGCATGTGGGATCCTCCCAGACCCAGGGCACGAACCCGCGTCCCCTGCATTGGCAGGCGGACCCCCAACCACTGCGCCACCAGGGAAGCCCTCCCCTGCCCCTTTTTGACAGCTTTGGATTTCTGTCTTTGGTAACAGGTAAAAGAAATCTACATATGATTGAATTTATTACCCCAAATTAACAAACTAGGGAATACATAAAAGTCCAGAGAAGCCTCTCTTAATTCAAACAGTCCTTTAGTTTTTAAGTATTTGAAGAGGACATAAATTAAGCTTTAGGAGGGGAAAAAAATTACTGATACTGACAGCCTAGAAAGTAAGATTAAAATTTTACTTGGCAGGGCTTCCCTGGTGGTGCAGTGGTTGAGAGTCTGCCTGCTATGCGGGGGACGCAGGTTCGTGCCCCGGTCCGGGAAGATCCCACATGCCCCGGAGCGGCTGGGCCCGTGAGCCATGGCCACTAAGCCTGCCCGTCCGGAGCCTGTGCTCCACAATGGGAGAGGCCACAACAGTGAGAGGCCCGTGTACCGCAAAAAAATAAAATAAAATAAAATAAAATTTTACTTAGCAAAAGTGCATTCAATAAGTTTTTGAAACCCAACTCTGATCTCTGTTCCAATCCACCAAACCAAGTACTTTCTATTGGTTTGATGTTCTGAAGGTCAAAGTACAGAAAATATAGTAATATTATTTTTGCTTTACAACAATGGTAATGGTATCTTCTCTTTTCAAATGTTTTTATCTGCTTTCCTTAAACTGCCAAAAACCAAAAAGATAGTATCTTCCAGAGTTCAGCACTTAGAAAAAAGCTGAAAACATCCCAAGTTAAAAATAACGAAATTGTAAAATAATCGTTTCTTCTATTCTAAGATGTATATACTTTTTCATATCTTAATGTTTCTGAAAACTGCACACGTTTTCATGTATACATTTAATGTAGTAGTTTCTTTTTTCCTCCTAGAAGCTGTTTTAAACCAAGCGTGTGTCATAATTTTCTTAAAAAAAAAATGAAAAAAATTCTGCTTTAATTATAGTAACACAAAACATAATGTTTGAGGCAAGCCAGATTATACAGTACACTAGATATACCTAAACAAAATTATTTTAGATCTGCAAAGTGTTATATAAAGTACCAAATATCTTGGTTCTCAAAAAATCAATTTTAGAAAGAGGGAAAGGAAGAAAGCAAACCTTCCCATTTTAGTTTCAAACATTCAGAATGTTACAGCTGTTACCTTACAGTGTTAATTTTCTTTATGCATATTTTCTCTGTACAACTAGTCTGTGAGGGTTGGAAGACATCACACACACACACACACACACACACACACGGGGGTGGGAGTGCAACAAGAGCATGTACACGTCTATTATGTACCATTAATTTTCTGTGTGACGTTTTGGAGATATGTGTCTCCAAACAGAACTGCACTGGCAATACCAACAAAAAAGAATTAATAATATAGTTTAATACATGCTATAATAAAATTAAATACAGGGCATTATGGAGGCACATAGGAAAGGCGTCTAACCCTTCTTTGCATAAATGTGTATGTGTGCTACCAGGAAGGCTTCTGGGAGGAAATAACACCTACATTAATACCTGAAAAAGGAGAAAAAGCAATGTCCTTGGAAATACTGATGGGGATTTCTTTTATCTATAATGTTAAGTAATGAACTGAACATGGCAGGTGCTCGATAATACAGGATATATGGCAGGTACTGTCCCTTTCTTTGGGGGGAGTCTGGAAGAACAAAGAGGAAGGAGGGGCAGGAGGAGAGGAAAAGGCCAATAGTGGGTATAAGAAAGTATAACTAAAAAGACCAAAGCAGGATAAATCAATGAATAAAATGAACTCTGGTTTTGACATACTTAGTTCAAACCTGGAATTCAGCACTTACTAGCTATGTGATCTTGGGCAGATACCTGACTCTCTAAGTCTCAGCTTTCTTATCTGTAACCAGTAACAACCAACCATGAGACACTGTGAAGCTGAAATGGATAATACATATTTGTTTATCTGTCTAGCTGTCTAATTAGTTTCTATACTAGATTTTAAGCTCTAAACGACAGAGACTATGAATAGTATCTTATGAATCACTGCCTAGCAAAATGCTTGGCATACAGCAGATGTTCACTACCATTAAAAATTTATTATGATAATTTTGACGACAAATAAACCATGACCTCAGCACACCATTATAACTAGTTTGACTATATTCTGAAGAGATCAAAGACTGATAACTGACTGGCTTTTTATTTCACTATAAAACACTAAAAGTTTTATTAATTATAAGAACCATAAAGTCTTCCAAATTTTAACAAACCAAACATTTAGACAAGCATGCCCCTGGAAATATTATGCAGTTAAAATCTATACCTCAAGGAGGTATAAATATCATCTTTTCCTCTCTCTAAAGAAGTGTTTTCAACCAAGGGTGATTTGCCCCCCAGAGAATGTGCAATAACGTCTGGAGACATTTCTGGTTGTTGTAACTGGGGATCTAGTGGGTAGAGTCCAGGCATGCTGCCAAACATCCTACAATGCACAGGACAGTTCCCACAGTAAAGAATTATCTGGTTCAAAACGTCAACAGTGTTGAGGTGGGGAGGGGTGGGCATGGAGTCAGAGAGTAGAAAGGTAGGCAAAGATATAAGACTGCCTGAACACTTATAAGTAGGTTAGGTTTAACATTATCAGAGTTTATGTCCATTATTACAACTTATTCTTTTTTTTTAATTAAGCTGTGATTTTTTTAAACATCTTTATTGGAGTATAATTGCTTTACAACGTTGTGTTAGTTTCTGCTGTATAACAAAGCAAATCAGCTATACTATACATATATCCCCATATCCCCTCCCTCCAGTCTCCGTCCCTCCCACCCTCCCCATCCCACCCCTCTAGGTGGTCACAAAACACCGAGCTGATCTCCCTGTGCTATGCAGCTGTCAAGCTGTGATTTTTAAAGAGAGGCTTAAATTTGCTTTTTCTCAAATATACCCCAGATAGAGAATGATCTCTCTGAAAATTATTTTAGGTCAATGAAAATATATAAAAGCTTTCAATAGCTCAGAAAAAAAAAAGCATTTTAAATGCTTAATTTCAAGACTTGCAAATGAAGTTCTAATATTTATCAGAGTAAGAATGCACAGCCACATCAAGCTGAATGGAAAAAAGATACACGTGGCTTACATTTCCTACTGTTTTATCAGTATATTGACTTTGAAAGTACAAAGCAGATTTAAACGATGTGTTCATTCATTCACATATGCATGGTTGAAGGAATATGTAGCACTTTGCCATTTCACTGCCTTTTTTTGGGTACTCTGCTATTTCTTTAATAGTAATCCCCATCACCACATTGCTTCTGATCTATGTTTCACAGCACATGTCCATTAATAATCTACTAAAAACTGTGAGAGGGTGCCACACAAAGTAATGACATAATGAAATCTAACTGATGGCAGTGAAAATTTTAACATTGGTTACTATCAGAAATGGAATCATTAGGTAGAAGTACGTCTAGATGGTAACAAATCACAAACAGTTGATGTTATTATAATTTTTCTTGAGTACCTTTTGAAATAACATCAATCTTTGGCTTCAGATTTGAGAAAAGTAGTATTATCAAAATATAATAAAATAATTTAAAAATTTAATGAATAATTTTTGAAAGAGGTCTAATAAGAAATCCAATTCATGTAAAGCTGTTGCTAGAGCTTGGCTGAGGTAATGCTTTGAGAGACTGTGTGTGGGAAAAAAGTCCACCCTACTGGAAGAAATCTTTGGGTTTCTTTATTTCTGTATCATTAGAAAAAAATCTTATTTTACATTAAAATTCAAGAGCGGT